AGCTCTACCTGACCGCCGCCACCAGCCTGTTCCCCTGGTACGATGCCACGGGCGTCAGCAGCGTCAACGGCACCCTCTCCGGCTTCGCCAAGGAACTCGACTACCTCATGATCATGGCCTACGACATCTACGGCGCCTGGGCCGCCACCGGCGGACCCAACGCGCCCCTCGCCTACACCTGCGACTCCCGCAACAACCAGGGCGGCGCCAAGGAGGGTGTCGAGAAGTGGGTCAACGCCGGCATCCCCGCCAACAAGCTCGTCCTCGCCGTCGGCGCCTACGGCCACGGCTTCTCCGTCAACACCACCAGCGCCTTATCCGGCAGCAACACGCTGAACGCCTACCCCGCCCAGAACAGCTCCAACCGCTTCCAGGGCAGCAGCTGGGACGACGACCCGCGCGTCGACGAGTGCGGCAACGCCTCGCCCCCCTCCGGCACCTACACCTTCTGGAGTCTGATCACCGAGGCCAAGTTCCTCGACGAGGCTGGCAAGCCGCTCCAGGGCATTGCCACCGGCTTCGACAACTGCAGCATGACCCCCTTCATGTACAACGAGACCGCCCAGGTCTGGGTTTCCTACGACAACACCGAGTCCCTGACTGCCAAGGGCAAGTACCTCACCGGCGCCGGCATGGCTGGCTTCGCCATGTGGGAGGCTGGCGGTGACTACAAGAACATCCTCATCGACTCCATCCGCTCTGCTGTTGGACTGTAAGGTGTTGGGTCAAGGAGTTTCATGTAAATCTTTTTAGAATTTGTCTCAGTGACACAAGACTGTAATCAATACCATTTTCTTTCTCACAACCATGGCTGTCGTGATTTTTTGCGATGCAACACTGTGCCTCAGAATGTGATAGGATTGTGATGGGATCACGTCTGCATCGAACCTGCAGCATAATCTCGCGAAAAGCTTGAAAGAGTAATACAAACAACCGCTCTCGGTAGGTCGCCGAAGATCCCAATCACGGGCGCTATTGACGTTGAAAAAGTCCGACTCAGGCGCGCTAAGCCGCACCAGGGGCAGCCTTAACACCAACGGATTACCGGCATCGGGGGACTTGGGTGTCCAAAAATAACCGAAAGTTTCTAAAGCGGGCCTCGCCAGCCCGGCGGGAATTGCTGTGTTGGTCAGTGCCTGTTGATAGCTTCAAGCTTTACTAGGAAGTCTTTTTAATTGAGAATACGAAAAACAGCTGCCCATTTCGTCGTGTTCAAAGCAAAAGGAAGTTGGGTCCATGGAACAGAAAGCTGCGGTGGTCTAGTCAACAACTTCATGCTGTATATCCACTGGACTGGAAGGCCATTATGCTGTGAGTCTTTGCAACTCCCGCCAACTCTCAAGATTCATGTAACTGCAGTCCCCAAGCTCAGCCTTCGAAGACTACTCTCAGTTGGACTTGGCGGGTCGAGAAGCCAGAAGTTCAAAGACATGAAGGTGCAAAAACAAAAGACATACAACACCGGGGATTCCCCAGTCGTCACCGACCTGAGTACTAGTCCGGCCCTTTCCAGCTTGACTATGGGAGAGCGGACGGGATCCCGTGTTTTCTGGAAGGTATGGTCGTATGTGTTGGCTTGAGGCTGGCATTGGGATCTTAAGGCATCGGCGGCGGGCGGTCTGCAGGCGCCAGAACCATCCACATAAGATGGTGTTGGTGAAAGAAACCCCGAGCATCGAGCGTCAACTTCCAGGCAACTAAAACTACCTCTTACGGAGACACACAAAGACCTTGTATGGGCCTGGCTGATTTCTTACCACCCAGGATCAATACGGAGGGCTATCCTTTACTGTGTAGTTAACAATGTGATGCCTAGAGTCCCGGTCAAGTCTGTCCACAGGAATCTCCAAATACTTTTTGTTGTTCGACGCCCTTTGTCACATTTTTTCCGTTCAGCTTCGGTTTCTCCAATTATGACCTGAGTTTTCCATAGACCTTTCCCGATGTTTCTCAGCGCTTGCTTTCAATGTTGAGCCAGGCGAGTCCTACAATTGCCCACATTTGCCAGTCGAACATACTCGATGAGCCGGTGGTATGGGATGGAAGGTGAGGTGTCTTGAATATTTCCAGATCTTTAAAGGCTTTAATGTGAAGATCAACCTCTCATATTCTCACAAAGGTTACCTCATGCGGCAATCAGATCTACTGTGAATGTGCAACAATGTGGTAAGCAAGGTGTGAGAGCGGTCGGCTGACTCCTACACATCTGAACTATCAAGTATAATCGTGAAGGCATCAAAAACCCCAGACTACCTCCTAAAGCGAAGTGATTGAAAGGGACAAGTAGCAAGAGGTAGCCTGACATTTCTCTCCGGCAGCATCTAGTGCACCAAAGCCATGTCAGGCTTCCACGTCCCCAAGGTCGCGAACCTAATGAAGAAGGCACACGTCTCTTCGTTCTAAGGACCTCTTTCCCAACTCTATCGTTTGTCCCTCTCCTCCTCCATCCACTACAAATATTCGCCCAACTGAGCCCATTCAACTCAACTTCTTCTTCTCAACAACTCACCATCTACCCACACCACTTTGCATCTCGCTTTACCTGTACAACACTTACACAACAACTTACCACTTCCAATCAAAAGTAAGTAAGAAAAAAAAATCACCTCTTCTTGTTCGTCTTTTTTTCAGGCTTGGTACCTTTTCCAAACACCCTCATCCACGCTCCTTTCTCACGTTGGACACTAACATTTGCCAGCCACAATGCCTCCCAAGAAGAACACCTCCACCGACGAGGCCGGCGCCTCCGCCGCCCCTTCCCACGGCTACTCCGAGGGCGAGATCCAGCTCCTGGTCGCCATCATCAAGCAACTCCCCCGTCCCACCTACGACGCCGACAAGATCGCCGAGGAGATCGGCTCCGCCTCGGGCAGCAGCGTTCGCAAGCGCGTCTCCAACGCCATCGCAAAGCACGGCTGGTTCGGCGGCAGTGCTGGTGCTGCTGGCGACGACGAGGCTGGCACCCCCGGCACCACTCCGGCCAAGAAGCCCCGCGCCAAGCGCACCCCCAAGAAGAAGGCGCCCTCCGACGAAGAGGAAGGCGACGCCCAGGAGCAGGAGACCCCTTCCAAGAAGAAGCCCCGCGTCAGCAAGGCTAAGGCCAAGGCCAAGGTTGAGGAGGACGTTGACGATGAGGCTGTCCAGCTGGAAGAGCCTGTCAAGCAGGAGGAGCCTGTCAAGCAGGAGGCTGGTGACGGTGCTGCTGAGGCTGAGATCTGATTACCGCGGAGGAAATTTGGGATTACACGTTGGGAAGGCAGGCACGTTTGGGATGGCTCTTTCTAGCACAGCTTGGTGATTACCACGAGATGAAGTTTTGATCCGGCGGGAACGAACATTGGGAAATCATGGCTACTTGAGAAAAGAAAAATGGAATGTTCTCGCATGCTTACGTTTGACTCGTTGTCTTCTCATCTTCCTCGGTCTTCGTCGTCTTGGATCTTCCCTATCTGGATTTCCATTTTCTTGTCGTCTTGCTTTTGAATTGCCTTGCTTTAGCATCTTGATGATTCTATTGTTGCAATTGATGGTCGATTTCTTGATGTATTGGAAGGTGCCCTGACCCATAGCTCTTTCCGCAAGAGCTATGCAAATGGTCTTTCCTAAATCAGGAACACACAGAACGATTCTCGAAAACCAAGTACTCACGCTAATCCTTTCTTTTTCTTCTAGCGCACCGTTGTGCCATGACGTTACGCGATCAGTACTGCCATGCACACAGACCGCCTCGATCCATGACATCATGCGGCTTTCACCCCAACTCCATCGATGGAAAACGAAGCATGTATTCCCTTTCCTCTCATACCCAAGTTGATTCTCACAACTAATTTCTCTCATCCCAAATTCAGACTTCCGCGTTCCGATTCATCATGACCCCGAAAAAGACCACGAAGAATGAGTCTCAAGACTCAGACGCTGAAGCCGCATCTCCTGAACCCGGCACCAAGCGCAAAGCCTCCGAAACCGACGTCAAAAAAGACACCTCAGCCTCTGAACCAGACACCAAAAAGCCAAAGAAATCCTCAAATTCCAAGGACACCATAAAATGGCTCCTAAGCGACGAAGCCTTCTCCCTCGCCTTCCCCTCCCTGCCCTCCGGCCACGGCGAGGTCGACTGGGACTCCACCACGCGCCCGCAAAAGACGCCTCCCCCCGAAGACGCCGGCAAAAAGGCAATCAAAAACGAAAACGGAGAAGAAGAAAAGCTGCCCCTGCTCACGTACCCGGACTCCAGCCTCACGCCCTTCCAGAACCTCGTCGCCGCGCTGCTGCTCAGCAAGCCCATCTCGCACCGCCTGGGCCTGCGCACGATCAACACGCTGCTGAACGAGCCGTTTGGGCTGCGCACGCTGCAAGATGTCGACGAGGCGGGGTTCGAGGGGCGAAGGAAGGTGATGTGGGAGGCGAGGACGCAGCATAAGGAGAAGTCGGCTGCGCAGCTGGGGGGTCTTGTGGATGGTGTGAGGGGGATTTGTGGCGATGGTAAGGAGGGTGGGAGTGTGGAGCAGATGGAGGGATTACGGGCGCAGGTCAAGGACTTGAAGAGTGTGGAGGAGGCGCAGAAGAAGGTCGAGAAGATCTTGACGGATGGGATTAAGGGGGTTGGGCCGACGGGGGCGGGTATCTTCTTGAGGCGGGTGCAGGGAGACTGGGAAGAGGTGTTTCCGTACGCTGATCAGAGGGCGTTGGAGGTTGCGGTCAAGTTTGGATTGATTGAGGAGGGAGATGGGGCGCAGGAGCTGGCGAAAAGTGTTCAAGATGATAGGGGGAAGTTTGTGAGGCTACTTGATGTACTTGTTGGGATCCAACTGGAGAAGAAGACGGAAGAAGCGTTGGAGAAAGCAGGTGTCACAAAATAACTCAAGAATTCACATCAATGGAGCTCGTCATTGCTCGTTCATCGTTATTCATAGAGGTTAACCTTGCTAGTTAAACATGCTTGATTCCGCCCGCAGGTATCAATCCTCGTCGCCATCACCGTTTTAACAGTCCCAGTCATTCTAGTATCGAGGGTTCTGTCCGTAATCTGGGTTTTGGCCATGGCCTTGGTTCTGGTCGTATCCTTGGTTGCCGCCATAGTAGCCCTGGTTTCCTCCATGTCCCTGACTCTGACCTCCGTAGCTCTGCTGATCGGAGTGGTGCTGCTCGGATTGGTATCCCTGGTGCTGCTGGTACTGGTCAGGGCGATACTCCTGATGCTGCTGCTGTTGGTACTGGTCGGGCCGGTATTCTTGGTGTTGCTGCTGCTGGTAGTTGCCGGGGTTGTACCCCTGTTGCTGGCCACCCGACTCGTGGTGCGAGGGAGGAGGAGGGTAGTTGCCCTGCGCAGGAGGAACCGGCTGGTTGCCGCCGCCAAGCTGCACGTTCGGGGATCCGACGCTGACACCCTCGTTTCCGATGTCATCCGGCACGTTGATCTTCACATTAGGAAGATACTTCTGCACCTTGGTCTCGACCATGTTCTGCACGAACACCCAGCTCTCGCGCTCGAACTTGCGGTGACCTCCGTTGACGACGCCCAGAATGCTCTCACGCAGCGTCTCCTGAACTTTGCGGATGAGACCGCGGATCTTGCTGACCAGCTTCACCTTGATGTCGTCTCCAAAGCCACGGTCTGTCGAGCCTCCAGCCTCACGGTCGAGCTGTGAGTCGAAGGGGTTGCCGCCAAGGATCTTCTCCAATGGCCGCTGGAACTGGTCGGGCAGGAGCTCAAAGAGCTGCTTCTCGATGCCTCCGAGGATGTTGCGGAACTCCAGACGGACCTCTCTGTGAACCTTGGCCAGACCGGTGCTCAGCTTGTCGCTAATGACCCTGGAGAAACCACTTCCGCTTCCTCCCTCCTCGCCGTCGCGGTCACCGAGGCCTCGGGAGGCACCCTCGCCGGAGGAGTGCTTCTTACCGAACAAACCACCGATGCCCTTGACCAGATCCTTCACTTGGTCCTCAACTTCACCCTTCATACCGTCGCCGAGGTCTCGCGTGCTCGTGTTGCCGCGAAGCCAGCGCTTGATGTGGTCCAGTGCGATGCGGGTGAACTGCTCGGCGATGGGCGCATGCTGGTCCCTCAGCTTCGCGCCGACCTTCTCCTTGATCTCGGGGCTGATGAGGCGGGCCTTCTCCTCGGGGTTGCGCGCGGCATCCTTGACCGTGTTGCTTAGCACTCCCAGAAGTCCGTCGAGCTCAAATTTGTTGCCGCCGCCCTGCCTGTCGTCTCCAATGTGGTCTTGCACCGCGTTGATGGCAGCTGACAGGAAGCCCTTTGCACCGCGAGAGAACGAATCGGTGTGGTCGATGCCACGAGACTGGGTCTCACCACCTCCTCCCCCGCGGCCTTCAGTCAAGTCGAAGATTTCCCTCAGATCATCTCCGGCGCCATCGGTAATCTTGCTGAAGCTCTGGGTGAGCTTCGCGATCTCGTCGGCGAAGGGCAGGGACTGGCCACCGTAGGAGTCCGGAGGCGAGTCATTCAGGCTCCGGGCGCCGCTGGGATCCTTGTCCTTGTTGAAGAGCGAGCGGAAGGCATCAATGACTTGATCTTCAAGGCTATCGATGGTCTTGTTCTGGAAAATCCCAAGCTCGGAGGTGATGCGGGGTTGGATCTGGGGCGCGAGCGAGTCGACGTACTTGTCGATCTTCTCGAAGACGACGTCAGGGATGGGAGACATGGCTGCAGTCGGAAGAGAAGGGAATGTGGTAAGGACGGTCGGTGGTGGTCTGGCGGGTGATGTCGCAGCGAAAGGGGCTTGCGTGCGTGCTATGCCCAACTTGTACTTCGCGCTGGTGAGGCAGAGCTGTGAGGCAGCCGGGGTGAGCTCCTGCGTGCTGTGAGCTGAGCTGACTGAGCTGCACCGACCGAGCTGAGGTGCGGGGTGGTGGGGTGGTACGTGTCGGATCACGTGTGGTGACGTCAGCGGTGGTGAAACGGATGCCAATCAGGGGCAACGGTGAAGGCAACGGTGAACGTTCTACACGGAGGACAACCGTCAAAGCTTCCGTCTTCATAAAAGCTGCCCGATGCATGCACAGTGATGAGTTATGCAGTTGTGTTATTATTACGATGGATATTAAAAACTTGACAAGAACAAGTCAAACGCATCCATGCCAGAGCTATTCTACTTCAAAGACTCTAGAATAAGCTTCTTGTATCCTTCTACGGCACCTTCCAAGTCCGACACAGTGATTCGCTCATCATTCGAATGCGCAACAAGAATGGTGCCGGGACCATACAGGTATTTCTTATGATCGCCTTCAAGATACGGAACGTCCGTGTAGTAGTTCGCAATGGTTGTGTTGAAACCTGATAGTGTTAGCTAATTCTCCAGTCATTTTTTGAGGCAGTAGCAACTTACCTTCGACATCATAGTCCAGGCTGACGGGCTTCCCGCCTGTGTTGAAAGAGAGACTAACATGCTCCGGCGTAGCGGCATACGCTGCCTTGCTGATCACATCCTTGATGCTATCAATGTCATCGACGGCAACCCGAATAGACGCTCTCGCAGTCGCATTCTCCGGGATAACGTTACTGGCAATACCACCTTCAATTACACCGACGTTCAAGGTTGTGTTGCCAAATTCCTCGGACGACGGCAACTCGGCGCCGATGATTGCCCCTAATGAACGCACAAGAAGATCAATGGCATTGCGACCTTGCTCGGGGTACCCAGAATGCCCAGCAATCCCAGAAGCCGTGACGTTGAGTCCGAGGACACCCTTATGGGCCCGCACAAGCTGGTTTTCCGTCGGTTCGCCAAACACAACGGCCTCCCAGGTTAGGTTGAGGTTGTTGGCCGCCTTCATCCCGTCGCCGCCGACCTCCTCTCCGACTACAAACAGGAGAGAGACATCTCCTTCGCTGATCTCACCGCTAGCGAGAAGATCTTCCACGGCGGTGACCTGAGCGGCGATGCTGCCCTTCGCATCGGACGTTCCGCGGCCCCGGATCTCGTCGCCATTGCGAGAGTACGGGATGTACGGCGGCACAGTGTCGTAATGCGACGTGAGCAAAACGCGAGCCTCGCGGGAGCTGCCAGAGTAGGCGTAGACGTTCTGGCGGCCAGCAGTGACAGTCTGCAATTCGACGGTGAAGTTGTTCTCGAGGTATGTCTTCAGCACCTCCGTTCCGGGCGCTTCGGCATTGGAGGTTGAGTCGACCTCGACGAGGGACTTGTGTAGTGCGAGGAGGGCTTCGGTGTACGATGCAGCCCGGGCCGATGAAGCCGCTAACGAGAAGATAAGACTGGCGAGCGCGAGGGTCTTCATGATGCGAACGTAGAATAAGTCGAGCTCAAGCGTGCGGTGTGCATTCGGAAAGGTTTCTCGACCGACTTGGGACTCAGGCGGTTATTATCGTGCAGTGTTGTGCGTTATCGGCGGCTGTTGTATTGATCATCACCGCTGAGCATGGCGTGATGACGAAACCCTGCTTCCAATCCGACTCTAGAAGCAGTTCGCTGCAGGTGCACCGGGAGGGGTAACACAGCGCCAAGATGATAAGTGTGGGGGACGCGATGATTAGATCTCGGTCTTCCGCTTGTCTAACCGATAATTGGATCTTGTATCGACCAGACGTACAAGCCCAATTGATGATGGATATTGGGGAAAAGGCCGAGGCTTGAATTGAATGTGGGCCGAGGTTGTTGCGGGAGTGACGATGGCTTGCATTCCAACGAAACCTTTTTCAAGCTTTCACGAGTAAGCAAGCTCCCACCAATTTTAGGCGTACTCTAGGGGGTCTTGTGACGCATCTATAATCAGAACATAGAGTAAATTGACCGAAGCAATGACTAGAAATTCCTATTTTCTGTTTCCTGAGATTGTTCAATCACTACGATCTACCATAGTTCACTTGGATTTCCAGGTTGACCGGGCTATTGACAGACGCTGCGTTCTGAAATCTTTAAAATTGGCAACATCCACATAGAGCTAGTCGCTCTGTAATCACCATTGCCTGCCGAGCTTTCGTTCCACAGATCATGCTCTGTCAAGCATTTCGACTTTGATACCTTCGAAGTCCGCCTTGGACTGGCTGGTCTTCCGTGATATGGTGATGCTTTGGAACTGACGGAACTTTCTGGCCGACAAGCGTGCATGGAACTAGAAGAGCGTGGTGGTTAGTAAAAAACAAAATCCTTTTGTGGCTGGCAGTAATAGGCTCTTACCATCTGGTTTATCTCCTCTAGTGTTCTTCCCTTGAGCTCTGGGATGTAGAAGTACGTCCAAACAGCCGAGATGATGCACGATGGGAACCAGATATATCCATATCTCGGGCCCCAGTTCAAAGCGCTGGGATTGATGAAGTACGGCGCAGTGAAGGTTATTAGCCACGCGAGAAAGTATCCGGCTGCTGATGCGACTCCTAATGTGTAGCTCCGGAGGCGTTGAGATGGAGCTTCACCAGCGACCATCCAGGAGTACGGTGCAATCATCCCCTGCAGCAGGTTATGTCAGTAATGATGGACATGGAGAACATCATGGAGCTTACGTTGTAGGCTATCATGAACAAGCACGATATCGCGACCAGCAGGTTCCCAGTCGAGACTGTGTTCGGATGTTTGTCAAAGGTAATTGCCATGATCAGCTGAAAGCAGCCGGATAGAACAAGCCCAGTTAGGAGGAAGACCCGGCGGCGCCCGTATCGCACCACGACTAGGGCATTTGCGATGATTGCCAGAAGACCACATGTCGACAAAACGTTGGTCATGGCGAAAGGGTGCTCGACCCTGGCGATAGTGAAGAAATATGCCTTATACGCTTGGGTCTGTTAGTCTTCAGACGACGAGAGTGCTCAGACGGGCTCTTACCAATGATGAACATTGAACCCGAGGCACTTTGCAAGCATACTGCGCAGATGGAGATGATGGTCCGCCTCCTATCGATTGGGTCTTTGAACATGTCCCAGAATGTCACCGACTTCTTTGTCTCAAAATCCTCAAGCACTGCACCTCGAATCTCGTTCACCTCGTCCTCAACATCAACCCCGGTAGGTCTTAGCCACACCAGAGCCTTCCTCCCTTCTTCAATCCGATCTCTCATGATAAGCCATCGGGGTGACTCAGGGATGAAGAAGAGACTTGCAGCGATGACAACGGGAACAGCATATACCACTCCTAAGGGTATCAGATAGGCCGACTTGTCGGGGCGTTGAGCGGTTGCCCAGTCTATGATGGTACCGAGGAGAGTTCCCTACAAACTCGATCAGTCTGTGCTGGCATCAACGAAAGGAGGATGCTCACAATGGTGACACAGAACTGAAAACCAGTCATGAATAGGCCTCGATACTTTGCCGGGCTGGTTTCTTGGATGTAAAGTTGCGAAAACGTCATGAAGCCACCGTTACCCAAGCCGATGAGCAGTCGACCGACGTATAGCGCCCCGATGTGCGTTGTCGTCATCATAATGACATTGGCCACTACACAGAGCACACACGATAGCCACAGACACATCTTTCTACTCAATTTTGAGGCGATTGCTCCTGCGAGCATGGAGCTGATGAAAGCGCCGAGGGTCATTAGAGAGGAGATCAGCTGCTGCCTGGTGGTGGAGATGTTCCATCCGATGGATGTTTTAGGGTCTTCGTAGCCATACACCTATCATTCAAAACCATGTCAACAACTCACCGAGCGCTGTAGTAAACAACGGTCGAAACACACACCTGAAGAAACCCAGGCATGGCCTGTAAGCCACCGATGATCCCAAAATCAACTCCATACTGGAATGGAGATAGCACTACCATTCCGCAAGCAACGAAACATCTCCAATTGGCACGAATGCCATCGGGACGGCGTTCTCTCATTTCAGTAGGAGTAACAAGATGTGGAGAGAGAAAGTTCAGACGGAGAAGGCGAGGAGAACTCTGGAAGCCGAATGTGGGGAGACGTCTGTTCCACGGGGCGTCGAACTACTTAAGAAAACGCCAATATGGCAGACTGCCGCTATCATGACCCCTGGCGTCGTATTTCGGGCCTTTCTGACATTTTACCTTCCGCTGGGTCGACCCGTGTGCTTATTCAGAGCTTTCAAAAGTGCGGAGGGTAACATGGTGGCTTTAGACCCACGCGGAGAACCGACAAATACAGGCAGGGATCAGTGCAGCTAACATGGGAACAGGTGATGATGTTGCATCGCACCCAAGACGTGGCACGGCAGAGTGACTGGCTGGCAAGCGCCAACGAGCGTGCCATGAATGCAGGCGAGCGCCTCCACGACGCGGGTAGCCGTTCGAATAATGGCCGGAAGACATTATCAGAGCAAAGGGCTGGTTCATGTGGGGTAAATTGTTAAACGCGGGGTGCAACGTCTCGAGAAGGGACCCCACGGCAGATGTTTGGGGATAAATCGTGTTTCGCGGCAAATGCTTTTCTTCTTTTCCGGTTGGCAAAGCTTCTGACAAATTCCCTTCTATCACCTGAGGTTGCTCTGAATGTCGATAATACTTGAAGACCAGAGGTATTCGAAATCCTGGGGCTTTTGAGCATCAAGTTCCCGTCTTTGCTAAGCCTACTCACAGATTCGGAGTCAAAAGTCGTTCATCATGTCTACCCCACCAAGGCCCAGCAGCGGGATCAAAGTGATTGTCGTCGGCGCTGGCTTCGGTGGCTTGACTGCTGCAATCGAGTGCCACCGGCAAGGCCACGATGTCGTGATTTACGAATCGTTTCCGGAACTGAAGCAACTGGGAGACATCATCTCCTTCGGCCCAAATGCCGGTCGGATCTTTCATCGGTGGTCCAATGGCGATGTTGTCTCAAGACTTCGTCCTTTGAGCATTAACCTCGAGGACTACGGCTTTAGGATCCACAAGTGGGATACTGGAGAAGTAGTCTTGACTCAGAGAAGACCACCTCCAGATCCCGAGGCGCCGGTTCTGAATGGCCACAGAGGCGAGCTTCATGAGGTGGTTTTCAATTACGCGCGTGACGAGTTGAAGATCCCCATTCATCTGGGAGAGTCGGTCGTTGATTACTTTGAAAGTCAAGGCGGCGCTGGTATTCAACTTCAGGACGGCAGAAAGGTTCGTTTGATGAATCTACGACTCCAACGTGATCAATAAGTGGCATTTGGGATGAAGAATCTGCTTTGCTGACTGATAGGCCAGATCGATGCCGATGTAGTGATTGCAGCCGACGGTGTTCGGTCTAAAGCGAGGGAGCTTGTCCTTAAACACAAGGAAAAGCCCGTAAGCAGTGGCTACGCGGTATGGCGGGCATGGTAAGACATTACCTTTTTGGGACAAGTGATCAAGTACGCTGATCTGAACTCTTAGGTTTTCTGCCGATGCCCTGCTCGCAGACCCCCGAACAAGGGAGTTCTGCGAGAATGGTGACACATTCAACGGTTGGATCGGACCCGACGCTCACTTCCTGTTCTCGACCATCAAAGGCGGTAAAGACGCTTCTTGGGTATTGACTCACAAAGACGAGTACGATATTGACGAGTCGTGGTCGCTCCCTGGGAAGCTGGAGGATGTATTCAAAGCGCTGGAAGGCTGGGACCCGCTTTGCAAGGTGATCGTAGAGAAGACGCCGTCACTGGTTGACTGGAAGCTGGTCTATCGGGATGCCTTGCCGAACTGGGTCAGCAGCGGCGGCAGAATTGCACTGCTCGGAGATGCAGTGCATCCGTTTCTTCCAACGAGTGTCCAAGGAGCCACGCAAGCAATGGAGGACGGTGTGACGATCGCCATTTGCTTGAGACGAGCTGGCAAAGACAAGATTTCGACAGCTCTCAAGACGTATCAAGAGATGCGGTAAGTCCTGCACCCACTTCGAAAATGCTAATCATCAGCTGATACGCAGAAAATAGGTATGAGCGTGTGAAAGCAGTGCAGCAAACCGGACTGTCAACCCGCGATCTTTGGCACAAGACGGACTGGAATAAGGTGAAAGAGAACCCGCAGAGTATTGCACTGCCCAGAGAAGATTGGATCCTCGAGTTCGACGCAGAGAAGCACGCAGAAGAGGCGTTCGAAAGTTTGTTGAAGCCTGGTCTCTAGATTCCCTCAAGATTCAACATGTTGACTAACGACAACGGGGGCGAACGATAGAAGTCTGAACAGAGGATTTACGCTCAAATACTGACTTCAGAGCGTCGGAGATACAATATATCATCACTTATTTAGTGCCATAGACTGAAGAAGTGTGCAGAAATTTCAAGTACCAGACGTGATTTCTATCCAATCAATGATGATATGAAAAAGCTCAACTCCTGATCAGCTTCAGAGAATCCACTAAAGCCATCTGACGTGCTGAAGCTAGGGATTTCCAAGTTGCCGTACGGGGCATTCGCGAACGCCAGGCTGTCAATGTTACCATCCAGAGATGACGTCGACAGCATATCAAGTCCCGCTGTCCCCTGTTGAGCAGGCAATTCATGGGAACCAGGTCTCATTGTTGAAACGTAGGTG